TCGTGTTACACAGATACTTGTTGGAAAAAGTAGTATACTGGAAAACCTGTTGTTTTTTTCCATGCAACTGGAAAATTTTATAGCGTGACAACTTTGAGTTTTTCAACCGTATGAGCTCCCTGTTATCAGAAGTCATGAGTTCATGGAGTCGGGAGTTGGTGAGGTTCAGTGTTATCTTAAGGAGCCCCATTTGTGGTTGTTTTATCTGGTGAGAGATTCCTTGCCGTGCTCGGGCTTGAAAAACTAGATAAGCATTTGCCCTGCTGCTCTGCGAGTTTGTATTTAACGACCTGTTGAAAACATCGGATGCTAATCAGGCAGACGTAACACCAACATGTTTAGCCTCCGCACTAGACTTTCGAGATGGCTGGCCTTCTTTCCACATGTTCCCCAGCAGTGCTGATTTACAAAGCAGCCAGGACTCGCTATTGTCCGGCCCAATTAAATGAGCTGAAAGATGAGATCCGTATGGAAGCCGCTGGTGTTGTTAGCAGTTAGCGGCTTGCAATGGGCTGTGTTTCCTTAATTCTCTCTTATCTCCTGCCCCCAGAGAGCAGTGGTCTCACAGATCTCTCAAGTAAGCCGAGTGTCTTTTGTCCCTGTGGTGTGTATCCATGGCTTGGTTTCCTCCTCTCTTGCAGTTATATCGTTCCATGTGCAAAAGCGGCGCGCCACATTAAAGTGTCGGAAGTTAGCACTCAGTCTTGAGCTTTGATTTAATCACAGCCTGTTTTAAAATTAGATATATGCATTGAAGTGTGTCCAAACGTGTGGCGTCTCAATTTTTCCCTCTTAATGGCTCAAGTGAAACGCTCAATGGCCAAACACAGGCTTTGACAGGAAAAGCCATCTTGAGTAGTACATGTGGCGACTCTGATGCAAACGTGTCCGGCCTGAGTTTGTGGGTGACTCCTAATAGGGTCATTTGACCTTAGAAATAACACTTTTGTTGCTCTTTGGTGATGGCCATTGTTTGGAAGAGGAAAGGTTGCTTCTGATGTAAATATCTGGCACATATCAGGAGGGATGTCCTGATGTCCATTGTTGCTACACTAAATTTGAGGGTCATTCCGGCAAACAGCCCTGCAAAATACCAGTAATTATTTACCATTACTAATCCTAACTACTAGCCCTAAACTCTTAAGTGATTTATTTTTCAGCCCCATCACAGTATGTTTGGATTTCATATACTTACACAGTAAAGTTCAAAAGTATGGTGTCAGTAAGATTTATTTGTATTTTATTTTATTTTTAATTAAAAAATATTTTTTTAATTACAATTTGGGGGGGGGGGGTCTATATACAGTATATATATATATGTATATATATTTATTATTATTATTTTTTTAATAATTAATATTTTTATTCAGTAAGGATGCATTAATCTGACACATTAGATTCCTATTTTAAATAAATGCTGTTCTATTGATCTCTTTGACTATTCATCAAATAATCCGGGGGGAATGTACGTACCATGGCGTCCACAAAAATATGAAGCAGCACAATATTCAATATTGATCATAACAAGACATGGTCTTTGAGCAGTAAATCAGCATAATACAATGATTTCTAAAGGATCATGTGACACTGAAGACTGGAGTAATGATCCTGAAAATTCAGCTTTACATCAGGAATAAATTAAATTTTAAAATATATTAAAATCTTTCATATTTTTTTTAATTACAATAATATCTCACAATATTGCTGTTTTACTTTTTGTTTCATTAAATGCAGCCTTGGTGTGCAAATGAGAATTCTTTCAAAAACATTAATTAATTTATTATTATTATTTATTTATTGTGTGTTTGTCTGTCCAGAAAACCCATTACAATGTAATGGTGATAAACTGGCACATGCAATTCATGATATTCTAATGAAAAGCAAATGTTCAAAATTAGAATTAATGTTTCATCTGATTAATCCATTTTCTTGTATCTGGACACACATAGCACACATATACCACTGTTTCCTGAAAATTACCCCTGAAATAGCTCTTGTTTTTCAAACAGTACAACTAAGATGCTCGGGCACACAAAAACAGGGGCACAAATTTCCACAGCAGTTATCTTCATCACAATGGCTCCCAAGACACTACCAGAATAAGTCTGGTATCACGGCGGCACAAAACAGACAGAGTGACTTATTGGCTGTCACAGGAAAGGGCCTGTCAGGATGTGGCCTGCGTTTGTGTTGGAAAGTCTTGTTTTGTAAGATGCAAGTCTTCAGATTATTGATAAAGCTCTTCCTTGCACCAGTAAATATGGAAGGAGAAAATGGGTTGGACTGAACTTGTGCAAAAAGAGTTGAATTAAGAAGATTCAACTCGCCATTTACTTCAGTAGAGTTTGGTTTGAGCATAATTTCATCAGAATGTTGTTGCATTGTGTCAGTTATATATATATATATAATTGAGATTTCTATAGCTTTGTTGTAATCTTAAATGGATTTTTTCACGTAGATCATTGCAATGCATTATGAGATTGGCTTCTCTGCAAAGGATGCATGCAGTACTGCCTTAGAATTGGCCCAAAAGAAGGTTTCTTGAGATGTTCCTTTCTTTGAAACACCTTAAATGCCTTAAAATGCTGCTTTTAAATGAACAGAGCCAAAGAGTATTTCAATTTCAGTACAAGTTAAAGGAAAAATTCACACAAACATTCTAATTTGCTGTAAATTTACCCTCCCTCAGGCCATCCAAGATGTAGAAGAGTTTGTTTCTTCATGGGAACAGATTTGGAGAAATTTCATCACTTGCTCACCAGTGGATCCTCTGCAGTGAATGGGTGCCGTCAGAATAAGAGTCCAAACAGCTGATAAATACATCACAATAATCCACACGTAATCCACACAACTTCCATTATAAGAGCTAACCAAGATTTGTGGGGGTTTTTTCTAAAGAAAATGAGTGACGAGTTAAAATGAACTTTTGTGGTATGCCACAAATACTGCTGATTCAGCTTAACTTGTATTGAACCAAGAGTATTCCATAATCCCATTATCTTTGCAGATAGATGGTGGTGTTAACAGTTTTTTTTCTTCTGTTTACACTGATAAGAAATCATCTGTGCAGATTTATAAATTATGGATTAGGTCAGAAGCAGTGCTAGGAATATTGATCTTGGATTAAATCCTATCTTCTAACATAGTATAAAAAACTCTATGATCTTACTCAATATATTGCCAACAATCAGTCAATTCCAGAATATTTTTCTTAGTTCGTGAGTAGCATAATTCAACAGTGTGAGAGCGGCCTGTAGCCATTTATGGATGTTCAAATCAGCTTAATTGATCTTTGCTGAAGAAAATGCTAATCGTACTTCACGTGTCCTTTTACACATATGCCATATAGCGTTCAAACAGTTCACATGATGAATGTGGGGTTCACAGCAGCTGGAACACAATAAACCATTGTCCACAAAAATCAGACTCTTGCTTGCCATATGGTTTTGTAATCAATCTATACCAAAATGTGCTCTTAAGTGGCTACCCATTGTGCACAACATCAGTGTCTACTCATCCATCCTACTCACTGTCAGGACACACACACACACACACACACACACATGCGATCTCTGACACACAGATGTATGACATCATTGCCTCATTAGGACCCATTGTTCACTTCCAAACTCTAGAGAAACATGGCGTGTGCAAGGTCTTTGCTTTTCAAAGGCTTTTTTTTTATAACAAGTTCCTAAGAAACATTTAAAGGAGTAACACTCCCAAAAATGAAAATTGTTATTATTTGTGTTCTTTATGGAACAAATATTCCATAAAGTATATTTTTGTGATGTGAATGTGAAGAATGTAACATTAGTTGCAATTAATCAGAAGTAGAAACAGATCTTTTTTTCCATATTGTGATGTACATTAGAGTGAAACGGATTATCGAAAATGAAAAAATATAGGGCAGATCGCTTGGCTTCCTCACTAAGGAGAGAGGGTTTCAGGGACGGGAAGATAGGAGACGGTAGGGACATGAAGCAACAATGACAGGAAGAGCGTCCAGATCAAATAGTGATTAAGGCAAGAAAAACATTCCTCAAATAAACACTAAACACACTCCTTTAACACGCTCAAATGGCTGGGAAGAGTCCCACCGCATGCCCTCTCAATTAGACGGGGATTTAACTTTTTTGGGGTTGTGTAAGAGAGCAGGGCTATTAATTTGACACATTTACTTAGTACAATGAATTATGAAATTAAAACTGCAATAAAAATGGATTTAATGACCCATGTAAAGAGCATTTTGCAAGTCTGCAGTCAGCACAGCTCCAGCTGTGACAGCAAGACCACTCAGGTCAAACTAGGCCAAAAATAGACTGTTTCTCCACTGACACACATCAAATTTGGCACAACCTACTGCAGAGACTAAACGAATGCATTATTTCGACAAACAAAATGATCAAGTCTGCAGGCACACACCCAAAGACGTGCCTGTAAAGCTGTAAATAATCAAACGTGAGCGGTGAGGTCGACTAAGCGAGTTGTTGATCCCGGAGTCATCCTATCCCATGGGAGAAAACAACCCAATTCCTCTTCCTGCCCTCTGTCCACAGTAAAAGCATCTGTTTGACCTCTGACCCTGACCTGACAGAACCAACTTCCTGACCCACACGGACTACTGGATGTGTCCAGATGCTAATATCACACAGTTAAAGGAACAATTCAGTCAGTTATTATTTACTCGCTGAAGAATATTAATGCAGGTCTTCCGACCTAAAAGTTCAGGAAACACCATTAAAGCAGTCTATATTAGCATATAACATTCCTGAATGGCATTTTAATGCTTTTCGGAGATTTTTTTTCCGGACGGGTCTCTGTGGAAATTTGCAGTGGAAAGATTCTTCAAAATTGCTGCTTTTTGGTTCCACAAAAAAATAAGATCGCGACAAGGGTGATTTTTTTTCCCTTTTTTCGTTAACTGTTCACTCAAAAAAAGAAAAAACATAAAAAAAACATTTAGGCCTAAGATGTGTGTGTTTGAAATGCATATGAAATTTCCATCCATTTGGATTACATGGTTTTATCATAAACTAACAATCAATCAATCAGCATAAATCTGGTCATTCAGTTGAATGAACATGGTTAAAACTTGGCTAGCTGTGAAACAAACAAAATTAGTTGAATATTAGTATGGGATGATAATAAATATATAAACTGTGCACTTAAACACATTCAGTTCAGTACAACTACAGAAATCTAACCCGTTTCATTTATGCATGTCTGACAAAAATGCATCACATTAGGTGCATTAGTTTGCTCCTGTTAAAACTGTGTAAACCTAATGGATGGAAATTGTATATGCAGTTCAAAAGCATAAATCTTAAACTTATGCTTAAATATTTTTTAGTTTTTTTCTTTTAAAAATACAAAAACAGACAAATTCAGTCTCCTGAGGCAGATAATGGAAATGTACCTGCATCCCACTACAGTATGTCCTCTGCACTCGCTAACTAGTTTAAACGGCATAAGAACATCTGCATCCAGCGCAGCTCATTAACGCTTCATTTGGAGATCTGAGAGATCTCATTTCATTTCCAAACATGCGCACACACACATATAATCATGTAAACACAGTTGAAAACCTCATGATGTACGGTTTTATCCATGTTCTCCTATGTGATTGTGACTCCCAGTTTTGTGCCATGTGATCTCTCCTTCGATGCCAAATCCTGAGAGTGGGGAGGCAGATGTTTCTGCACAGTAAACATTCAGCGATCAGCACTGGCATCCCTCTTCCAGTGCTTTACAGGTAGGTGTCGTGTTCGGAGCTACTGAGACTCTGATTGGAGCCCTGCGGGGGCGTGTCTTCCTGCAGGTGCTGCGATTCGCTGGGCGCGAGGTTGTCGCTCTGTAATGCTGGGTCGCTGGGTAACAGATACGGATTAAGAGGTGGCGAGGTGTTTTTCGTGTCCGTTTTCTTCTCCAATTTGCTCTTTGCTTTTTTCCCTTTCTCTATCTTGCTCTCGGTGGTCTGCGGTACTTCGACGACGATCGTGGGGTTTTGTTTGAGGTCCTGGCGACTGGGCGGCTCAGCGGCCATGATGGCTTTGGCGCCGTGCATTCTGGGAGGGGATTTACAGTGTAGCTCTCCGTGGGTCTCCTTCCAGCGCCGGAGCTGAGAGAGATGTTCCTTCTCTATGTCTCGCTCAGACACCGCCAACTCACTGACCTGAAATGGTGAGGATGTATGTTTTTTAAGTCAATAGCAATAATAAATCTGTACAAAGTATATTTAATTCATTTAAGTGAGAATTTTTCAAAGGACTATTACTTGGCAAATCAAATTGTACTGTTTAATGCATGCATGTGCCAAAAGCAACCAGCAGGGGGAGTCACAGCCTATGTCTGGCTACTGCTGAGTACATACTGCACAGGAAATAATGTGTACTGCCTATTTCTATTAATAAGTATGTGAAGCAGCATGTAATACACAATCATAAACAATTCCTGTGGCAGTAGTGCTACACTGTTATTCAGTGTGTACCATCTCTCAGGAAAATATGGATATTTTACATTTTTAGTTTTACATTATTTTACATAATTAAAAGTAAGTACGTTTTAAGTTGAAGTACAGCTCATAGGTGTATGTGTGGGCGATACCTCTTGCACTAGGAAAGCCTCCTGCATGTATCGTGGCTCAATAGATCTGAGCAGCTCCATGGTCTCATACTGGCCCTGACACGCTTTCAGTTTCTCCTGAGATCCCAGCATGCACTTCAGCAGCACCAGACCCACACGGAAGATGATCTTCACTCCTGCAACACACACAGACATGCATGCCCATCAAACAAAGTAACATCTAAGACAGAAACATTTGCACTACTTGTATATCAGTAAGTTTCATAATAGAATGGCAATACTGCAAAACATGTGCATCCTACTTTTTATTTTAAAAATAATAATAATAATGATAAAGTATTAGTATTTTTTCTTAAATTTTTTAAAATTCTCTTAATTTTATTTTGAACATGTATTTTAATACATTATTCACTGAATTGGTTTAATGAATCGTTCATCGATCACCATCAAATAACATAATTTGAATTATATTTTTATTTTAAATTAAATAAAAAAAATTTAAAAAGTCCTTACTAGGACATCTTGATGTCCAAAAGTAAGCATGTTAAACATTTACACTTCTGCTTTGGCATCAAGTTGTTGCAGTCTGCAAGTAAATGTCACAAGTAGCAAGGTGTGAATCCAGTGAGCTGTAAACAGTTTTTTCATTGGTGGAGGGGTGCAGTATCAAGAAAGGGCAAAGTGCATATGGTATTGGATAGGCTTTAAGAGTGAGTCTCACCCTCACAGAAGAACATGTCCCACATGCGCAGGACAGACACCCAGGGCAGCGTCCTGGAGAAGGCACACATGAACCACTCAGTCATGTAGAGGATAGGGTCAATCTTGTATTTCTTCAGATGCCGGTGGGCCACCGGGGACACGCGCTTGAGCAGAGCAAACAAGATCTCGCCGTCTAACTGGATAGCCTCCTGTGAAGAGAGAGATGAGGAGGAAACAAAGAAAGATGACAAAGGGAAATCTGGCATGTACCACAGTGGATCCATTTCCCTATAACAACTTTTCATTTTAAAGAGATTCTCAAAATGTAAATTATATGTGGTGACTGAATTATTTTGCTGATAAGTTCCTATGATCTGACGCTCTTGCAAATACAAGTTATTTACATTGATGTGATAAAACAAATTTTGTGACGGCAACAATTCACAAGCTTAAAACAGGAATGGTAAGAGGAAACCCCCCAGGCAGAAGAGAGTTAGAACGAGTGATAAAGAGAGACAGCAAGATCCTGATGTTGGTTTAATTCTCTCCTTATCTACCACCCACTCTGCTCCTGAAGGTCAGACACAAAAGACCTCACATAAAGCTGGGATTGCACTGGATTCCTGTAGCAAATTAGCAAATTAATTATAATCATAAACCGAAAAACCATGTATAATTAAATATTCATTATTGGCCGATACAGACAATAGCAACCGATACTGATAAACAAAAAAGAATTCGAGATGGTACCAATACATTGTGCATCATTAACTCAACTGCAAAAAAAAACTCTGCATGCTGGAGCAAATAAACTGAAAAACTTTGCTGGGTTAGTGAACAGCGTTCAACGTGTGGGTTTCTGACAGAAACAGGAAGTTGTGCAGATTTGACGGACATTTTTTATGCACAAACTACACATTTTAATTCTGACATTCCTGATTGGAATATTTTCAGTAATTTGACTGCTTATTTTGTCATCATTTTGACAATAGATGAAGTGTTAAATGAGTGATCTTGACAGAAGCCATAAATTCCCAAATGAAATAGCTATTGTGCTGCATGAGTCTTGTTGAGACAGGGCACTTCAGCCGCACTTTAGCCTGGTTAATCAGTTCTGGATTAGACAGGATGTGAAGCACAAGAGGAGCAACCCTTGAACTCTGATCGCTCTACATCAGCAAATTTCCCACATCAACATGAGAGCATCAGCATCTCGTCATTGATCGATCGAGTGTTTCAGGGTGATTGATTGCTCTCGTGTGAATCTTTGGGTTGACAACATGCAGTGACAAGTGCTAAATGGAGGAGGACTGTATATTGTCTCCACTTACCAGGCCTGCGCTGTAGTATCCGGGCAGATACTTCTCACAGATCTGGACCAGACCCCAGAATGCATCCTGCCAGAGCATGGCCATAAAAGAGTAAAAGACCAGAATAGGGTATGAGTTTAACTTGCTACTGTACTCAAATAATTAAAACCACTGAAACTAATTTGCAACAGTTTGAACACTGTTTGGACTCTCATTCTGACGGCACCCATTCACTGCAGAGGATCCATTGGTGAGCAAGTGATGCAATGTTGCATTTCTCCAAATCTGTTCTGATGAAGAAACAAACTCACCTACATCTTGGATGGCCTGAGGGTGAATACATTTTCAGGAAATTTTAATTTCTCAGTGAACAATTCCTTTAACTATGCCATGTATTGCATTACATGATCTCATTCACAAATCATTTATACTCGGTGTTACACCTTGACAAAATATAATGCATTAAAACACATGACAAAGAACCAATTTCAGACACAACAAGAAATCTGCAAAGTTTATAACGCATTTTAACTTGGGTTACAAGTATGTGTGAAAATATACTGCATTATAACTCACATTATGAGTACATTTATAGTGCATTATACATAAAGGCTTCAAGTGTTACCAATAATTCTAGTGTTTTATTAATCACATATAAAACATCATAATAGGTAACTATATAAATCAATAAATAATTTATGAAATGCATTTAAAACTACAATGAGGGCCATCTGTCAGTGAGTGATCAGAGAGAAGCACAATAATGGACTGCAGACTGACCTCAGCAGGCATGTGCATGAGCAGCACTGCAGCTATAGGAGCTTGAGCCTGACAGTAACCCTCCTCTGGTCTGTGCAGTGTGTACGCCTTCAGCACCCGGAACAGATCCTGCTGCCTGCACACACACGACTGGATGATGTAACAGAAGTGATGGGGTTCAAAAGAAGAGGCCTGCAGGTTAAGGGAGGGCAGACTTACCCGTGGCCTCCTCGAGCTACGAACATCTCGTGGAATGGAAACTGTCTGTGGAGGTCTTTCTCGATCACATCCAGCCATTTAGGATCTCCAGGCTGACTGTCCAACTCCTGCCACATAAAGCCAAATCATGTTTATTTGTCTAACAGTTTATACAATACAGACTGTTGCAAAGCAGCTTCACATTAATGAAACATCATCATAAAACATTTCATGAATTATGAAATGAATTCAATTTCAGCTGTAAAGCAACTCTATAGAAGGCAATAGTGTGATTGTTCAGCTCAAATGCTGTTCTCATTTGATTGTTTCAGTGCAGTTAAATTAATAATATTACTGAATGTTATAGTCTTTTAAACCCAAAAACAGAATGATAACTGATTAGAGGTCTGAGTTTGCATAAAAATACATAACGCACACAAATACTGGGTAAGTGTCAATTTTAATTACACTGAAATGTTAAATATTGAATTAAATTTATATTGATTTAAAAAAAAAAAAAAAAAAACATCTCTATGCTTTGTCCACCACTTTGAACCTTGCATCATGGGATTTCGATCCCTGTAAAGGATATAAAAGTTAAGGATCATTAAGAAAGGTTAAGATTTTTTTTTAAGGTTTATAAAATAAGTATTTTATGCTCACTAAGGCTGCATTTATTTGATCAAAGTATGGTGAAAACAATAATATTGTGAAATATTACAATTTAAAATAACTTTTCTATCATAACAGATTAAAAAATGTGACTAAAGCCTGAATTTTCAGCATCATTACTTCAGTGTCACATGATCCTTCAGAAATCATTTCTTACCATTATCAGTGTTGAAAACAGCTGTGCTGCTTTATATTTTGGCTGCCTTAAAATTTGGATAAAAATATGGTGTCTTAAGGTGGCATAATCAAATTGTTTTGGAACAGAGCCATGCCGCTTTCAAAGGTTCAAGTGGACAAACCTGAAATTTGCCCTGATTCTGTTCTTTCTTCACTTTCCCACCAGAGAGATAAAGCCACGCACGACCTCTGAGTGATGGAGGGATGCCCTTCTGACAGCGCAACTTTACCTTCAGAGAGATGGAGAGAGACACTGAGCTTGTACACTTGCATATTAGGATGAACTATGACCTTTTGTCTTAATACAAATATTATTCATTTGAGCACTTGCATTCACAAACTCAGTTTATACTTTTTTGTGAGTGACACAAACCACCATCAATCCCAGAGCACTCTAGAGACATTCAGAGTTCATTTAGAGTGCTTGCATAATTCACTAGTACTCGAGAAATAAAGACATGAAAGTGTATTTAATTTCTATTTGCTTAATTGGATGGTAAAATGTGACCGGCCGTGTCGAGCAAAATTACAGTAATTATGCATGAGCTGCTGATGTGGCATCCAGCTGCTGTTAACTTGAGAAATGACTAACCCTGTATTTTGTCTGGAAGGCTTGTCACTGGAGATAAATTCAGAACCAAGAAATCCATAAACGAGAATTATAAAAGTAAATAATATTTAACATTATTGTAGAGACAACATTTATGACAAATGTGTTTTTTTAAATGGATGATATCCAAAGCACATGGGTGGCCAAAGGTCAATATAAATAATACAATAAGGAGTTCTGTGGGCGGATATTTCATGTGGGTCTGGTCATAAGTTTAAAAGGTTTGTGACTTTGGAAGCACACAATGTGTGATGTGCAGTCAAATTCCTAAGATAACATCATGTTGTTGAGCATTTTATGTATGTTACAGCATTCTCTAAAGAATCGGAGCTATTCGAGAACATAAATAAAACCTGTGGACACAGGTCTGTTTGTCAGAGACCAACCTTCTTGTGTTTTTTGGCCATCCACTTGTCCCAGCTGTTGAGCATATCCAGCCATTTGGCTTCTCTCTGCCGGAGCACGTCTGGAGGAATATTATCACTGCATTGAGTGAGAACAAAAAGAGATTAGATCATTTATCTGATATAATATGCATGCAAGCACACCCACACCTACAAAATCACACATGTTAGCAAATACAGGGTTGGGAACTGAGAGCTGGTTCTTGTTCAGAACAGACGTTCAACACATTCTGTTCTGTTAATGGCAATGGTGCATTTGTCATTCAGACAGTGTTTTCTGCAACGCTATTTAGTAACAGCATGGTTGTTACTGAACAGACAATGATGATTAAATCAGTAAATGGTTACTTTCATCGGGTCCCTGATATGAAACGAGAAAACTGTTACTGTGTTATGTGTAGTTAAATATTCAAATCTTAAAGGGGACATTGGATGCCCATTTTCCACAAGTTGGTATGATTCTCTAGGGTCTTCATAAAATGCTTTGGTACTTTGGTTAAAATTCCTCAATGGTCATGAAAAACAACACCCTTTTTACCTCGTCAAAAACAGCTGTTCACAGCGACCCGTTTCGGTGCATGTCTCTTTAAATGCTAATGAGCTCTGCTCACCCCACCCTTCTCTGCCGTTTTTTTGTGTATTCAGTGGCACATTACCATCTAAAATAAAACTAATCCACCGAGTCCTCAGTGGCTCTGATGTCGGGAGAAAATGAAGACTCATGTTCACTTTTACATCCTACTACAAAACACCTGCTTTGCTTACGAGACATTGATGTGGCTACAGCTGCTCGAGCGCCGAGAAAATGGCAGACAGCGTACAACTGGCTGAGGGCGGAGATATGCTAATACGGGGCAGTCCGTCAATGGCCGTGGGCGGGGCCTGAGCATTATGACATCATACTGCTCAGAAAATCAAAACGGCTTGATAATTGAGACCATTTAGGTTTTTGAGGAATTAAAAAAAAAAAAGGAGTGAATGGATTTTTATCATTGTAGGGTGGTTGTGTCAACACACTAAGACATTTTATAGATGTACAGAAATGATCTGGGAACAGATTTAAAAAAAACATTATTGGAATCTGTAAAAATTGGATAAAAAAAATGACATTTTCTTTTGATTCTCATCCCTATACATTTAGAAGCTCATCTTTATAAACTCCCTATCCCTATAGGCTATATTAACAAACTCACCCCATGTTATTTACAAACTCACCCTATTTATTAAGGGGGCATTTACATGATACCATTTTCAACTAAAAACAGAAATTGTATGCACTTTGGCTGCTCATTTACACATCAAAGGCATTTTGGGGGCCTGAAAATGCAAACTTTTCAAGTCGGTGACGTCATACGAATGCGTTCTGTGTGTTCATTCTATAGGTATGTGTGCGTGCGCAGACGCATAGTGTTTCTTTTCAAGTGACATCGCCATCTACTGTCCTGGCATGAATAATACAGTGCTTTTTTAGACGTTTTCACGGGTCAGTGTGAACGGGGATCATTTTGACAATGCTGTCGTCTGTACGCAAAACATTTTTTTTTAAAAACGCAAAGGAAAAACTTTGACGTTTTTAGTAACATCGTTGTCATGTAAACATACCCTTAGAAATGTATCCCTATATATTAACAAACTCATCCCTTTTTGCAATCTCATCCCTATTTAGTAACAAACTTATTTCAAATATTTACGAATTCCTTCCTATTTATTTACAAATCAGTCCTTACATATTTACATACTCATCCCTATTAATTTATAAACTCACACCTATTTATTTACAAATAAACCCTTATATACATACTATTTACAAACTCATCCATATATGTTTAGAAACTCATCCTTATACATGAAGAAGCTTGATATCTCTTGACCTGATATGTCCACAACAACAGCAAGGCACTGTTTGAAAAGCATAATGTGGGTGTCAAATTATCTCAATTGAAACGGAGTACTGTGGGTGTCATCATATGTTCACAGAAAGATCTTCTGAGGGAAATCCAAAACACAAGCTGCTTCCCACTGCAGTAGAAAAAACACCCTTTTTCAACTATTACCATCATGTTTAGCAACTTAGCAGCAATGCCTTCAAATGTATTACTAGGCTGCACAACCATAAAAAGTGATGTTAATGTGGGATGACTGTTTATAAGAACAATTTGGACAGTCAGAGCGGGGAAGATCTCTGGGGAAAGCAGTGTTTCTGGGAATCTTTCTTTACTTGTGTTCTGTCTGATTAAGTGACCCCAGCGCCTCGACTTGAAATGCTGTTTATTATATCCAGCTGACAGACACACCCTTAACATGTGATTGAGTGCATTTATATCAGATTACCAAAAAAAAACAGGAAAAGAATACAATACAGAGACTTACAGTAATCTTTTTTTTTTTTTTTTAAAGACAGAGGTTACATTTCTTCAAAAGACATGAGTGCTTGTGCAACACCTGCCACTACAATTAGAGTTGGAGTTTGTTTGAATAACTTAACCTCAATAAGAGCATTAAAAACAGCACTTCTAATGGCTTTGGTCCTGCTTCTGTGTTTTATAACCGCAGTGATCGGTGGGAGGTGGACTGACTCATGTCAGAGGAGTCAAATTAACATATTAAACACTGAAGAACATTTTAACAGTGCCTTTCTTCCAAAAAAAATGGGACAAGATGAGCATACAATGAACACAGATTACATGATTATTACTCAATGGCATGATGCAGATTTTTTTTATGGATTTGTTATTTTATTCAAAAATAAATTAGAAAGGTATTTTGGTTATTTTTTGTTATTTCTTAGAAATAAAATTGCTTATTAATATTAAAAAAACACTTTTGTCGGCCATATCAAAGTCATGTGGTGCGACCAATATGCAGAAAAATCTATTGCTTTGAAAAACATAAAAGAGAAAATTATATCATAGAGAGGTTACATACAGACCCTTATGGCTGTGTGCTTTTGTCTTTTAAGATAATTTGATATTTTTATGGCAAGGTACAGTTACAAAATGTCATGTGGTGCAACTCTTTAAAAGCTTGATATTTAAGAATTCAGAATCAGAATATTTGTAAATACTACTTTTTACCTTGCAATATATTTTAAATGTTTTTGAAAATAATGCTTAAAATGTGCACACAAGAATTCAAAGTGTAAAGGAAATATGTTTATACATTTTGTTTGATGGTTACACAAAATGACACTTTTACAGTTGAAAGGGTAATAAAAGTTTTTCAAAATATGGAACTAAAAAAAAAAAAAAAAAGTACATTTCTAAGAATGTGGCACAGATTTTGAAACATTTTTTTCTTTTCTTTATTGTGGACACTTATTTGTCGCTTATGATGGAGGAAATGCATGTTATGATGATGATGGATGAAAAGCATGTTATGAAAGTCCATCCCCGAGATACAAAGGGATCCAATAATCCCCTGGCAAAATGTCAGTGACAGGACAGGCTGCATAAACCCTGATGGCTCATGCAGACGCTCGGTCTTGAAATGGAAAGCAAATATACTCACACACGTGCAGTGTACACACAGATTACGAAGTCCAGATTGGATTATCGTCACCGATCAGATTACAGATGATTGCGGTTGTTTAGATCTATGGAACAGAATTAGGGCCTGCCGCTTGCCTGTTTACTTTTCCCGTGTACACAGGTTGAGCTAATTATGTTACGCTGAAAACACAGAGACAGTTGAATGGAGTGTTGAATGGAGATTGGAGGACGGGCTTATGAAGAACAAGAGGAACTGTCTCATGGAAAGGGTTGAGCATGTGCCCTTTGACCCTTCAAGTATCATAAGTACTCAGAAAGTGTTTCCTTTCACCCTATAGACACGTTCTTCAGACCAGTTAGTAGAGGAGGAAAACAGGAATCACATGAATGTCAAAAAATATCCCTTTGCTCTCTTTACTTGTCCTTTCCCTTCCTGGTGCTTGCTAACACATAAGGCTAAAACGACAAGCAGACAGACAGACAAACTCTGGCAAAATAAGAACTCAAAGTGTTAATGTTAATATATTACATGGATAGTTCGGGCCAGACTATTTTCTGATTGGATGAATCACATTCTGTGCGAGAAAACCATCACACACAAAAATATATATATTTATGGCCACAGGTTCCAATTAATCATGCGATAACATACAAACTCTTTTGGAGAGGGTTTTGATTTCACAGCGGGCCACACTCAGCTGTCAATACAGCAAAGCAATGCTGAACTCCTCAGTGAGTGTAACTACCGTAATTTGACTTGCGAGATGAAAAACTACTTCTGTTGCTCTGTATGTCGCGGCACAGCTGAAGAGCGAAAGCAAATTCCTGTCATCTTTTCTCTCGCTCAAAAGTCAAAAAATGAAAAACTCCTCTCAGAGCACATCAGAACAAACACAGATGAAGCTCTGTTATGTGCATGCCAAAAGAGATCTGGTGCACTAAAACACTCCCCAGAGGCTTGGCACTTGGTTTCATCTCCTAGGCAGTAGTAACAAATGGAGGGAAACAAAAGCCAAACAGTGAAATGTAAATGATTCTCCATAGAGAAGTGCAATTGTCAATTGTGCAGACACACTGTCCTCGTAGCATGAGCACAGCCCTCTTTCTCAAACAGACTTTAATCGCATTAAGTATTAACGATATTTTTGTCATGAGGATCCATAGTAATCATAGAATCCTCAAAGACCTCTTTTATACAATATTTGTTGGGAAAGAGAGAGCGATGTGTGTGAGAAAAATGCCATTTTCCAGTAAAAAAGGACTTTTTTTCAAGAGACAAAGCCAGAACTAATGCAATCCATTTCTTAAAGTCAGGCCAAGAATGGAGTATCAGCAGATTTCTGAGGAATGGATTTTAACATGTAAAAAAAAATAATAATAATAAAAAAAAAAGAAGTTGAGAGTATTATACTTAAAGAAAAAAAAAACCTTGGGGAAACGTTTGGGGTCAGTAAGATTTTTTTCATGTTTTTGAAAAGTCTCATATTACTCACCAAAGCTGCATTTATTTGATCAAAAATCCAATAATAATAAAAAAAAAAGAAGTTGAGAGTATTATACTTAAAGAAAAAAAAACCTTGGGGAAACGTTTGGGGTCAGTAAGATTTTTTTCATGTTTTTGAAAAGTCTCATATTACTCACCAAAGCTGCATTTATTTGATCAAAAATCCAAAAAAAAGCAGCAATACTGTGAAATATTATTACACTTAAAAATAACTTTTTTTATTTCGATATATATTAACATGTAATTTATTCCAATGACGCAAAGCTGAATTTTCAGCATCATTACTCCAGTCTTCAGTGTCACATGATCCTTCAGAAAACATTCTAATATGCTGATTTGTTGCTCAAGGAACATTTATTATTATTATCAATGCTTAATATTTATCAGGATTCACTGATAAACAGACAAAACAGGAAGAATAGAATATAAATGTCTTTACTGTCGCTTTTGATCAATATAATGCAACCCTGCTAAATAGTATTACTTAAAACAAAAAAAACAACTGAAGGCATTTCATAAGAAGCTGTGTATTCTGATAAAATATTTTTCCAAGCAATATGCAAATCGTAAGTATCTCATTATATTATACAAGATGTGTTACCTGCCAAAAAACTACATAAGCGTATGCGAGGATCAGCAGAAGATCAGCAGAAGACATTTTGGAGTTTCTGTGTGGGCCGCTAATACTCATCAGAGCAGGGGTCTCCAAACTCGGTCCTGGAGGGCAGGTGTCCTACAGAGTTTAGCTCCAACCCTAATTAAACACACCTGAACCAGCTAATCAAGCTCTTACTAGGCATAGAAACTTCCAGTCAGGTGTGTTGAGGCAAGTTGGAGCTAAACTCTGCAGGACACCGGCCCTCCAGGACCGAGTTTGGACAGCCCTGCATCAGAGTTTAAAACAGACTGTATGTCTGACAGATGATTTGAACTGTTTATTTTATCAGCAATTAAAACCATTTAGATGCCTGACCGCCACACTACTGCTTGTCGAATGAACTGAATGAGTCACTGAGCAGTTTCATTTCAAAACTGAAAACACTTGCAGCGAGGTTCTGCCAAAACAAATCAATGAGCAATTCTGAGTGCTAAAGGGAGTTCACAGCATGAGGGGAAACTCCTGCATGACTCTCAATGAGAGACTGAAAAGAAACGTTCTGTTGTACAGGGAATAAGAGACATTCTTCATGAGAACTGTAGAGGACAGATGCGCCTTTCTGCTATTAATTCAACAGCAGATTAATCTGATCAGTGAATGGTTGCTTGGCCAAACTGAACTGCATTGTCCAGAGTCATTAGAGACACTCATGTAAGTCAACGCAAAACAGACAAGTGTTTGTAATAGCTGCAGAAGAGGAGGATGCTGGCAATTTACTGGATCATCTAGAGGAAAAAAATGAATTTGGCATGAAAAAATGAATTTGCACAATACATCCAGTCCTGAGGCTAACACACTACATCTCAAAAATAAGACCTTTTAAAGGAATGAATACTTCAGCAAGGATGCATTAAATTGATCAAAAGTAATAGTAAAGACATTCATAATGTTACAAAAGATATTTCTTCTATTTCTTATAAATGATTTACTTTCAAACTTTCTATTCTTCAAAGAATTCTGAAAAAAGTACTCCAATTTCCACAAAAACATGAAGCAGCACAACTGTTTTCAACATTGATAATAATCAGAAATGTTTGGTGCGCAGCAAATCAGCATGTTAGAATGATTTCTGAAGGATCAACATTCAGCTCTGCCAACAGGGATAAAATAAATGTTAAAATATATTAACATAGAAAACAATTACTTTATAATATTTCACAATATTAATATTTTACTGTATTTTTGATCAAATAAATGCAGCCTTTGGTGAGCATAAAAGACTTCTTTCAAAAACATGAATAAAACCTTATGGTAATTTATTTATTCCTGTCCAGATCTTTGTATGGAAACATATTTCGCTTTATGAATTAAAAAAAAAACACATTAACTGTTACTTACTAATCCAGTTCTTATGATTATACTGATTTACTCAAATTTGACTTCACTACATTTCTACAAATCCCAGAAAAAGGCAAGCAAATGATGGCACACACACAAACACCGCTTATAATATTACACAACATCCGTTCTTAAATGGATGGAGGAATGTGAGCCGACCAAGCACTTCTCAAAGCTGGTCATATTAGAAGAACTCAGCAAGAGCAACCACTGGGGACTTCAGTGGTGTTATAGACCTGTCAACTCATCTGTGCTCGCATGGACCAGGATGAAGACTGTCCTCAAAAACAATTCAGAGTCCACTTAATGAAGGCACTCATGAAGGTGTGAAAATGTCGCACTAACTCCAATAAAGCAAAACAAAAAACATCAGTGTGCTTCACAGTAACTTTCATGAGCAAGTCATTACATAATGCTTAATCAGTAGCTCAAGGGCTTTTGAATGTGTATGCAAAAGTTTCACATTTATTTATAACTTGTTCATGATGAGTATTGCATAATGCAATAAGATCTGGAAGTTATTATAAAGAGTTACAAACACATTCATAGCTATTCTATTATCTGTTTCTATAGTATAAAAAGTTATTAATGGTTTAACGTCTTTCTTTGACATCCATAAATGTAACTGCCACTTACTTTTCTCCTGTGCTTTGTTGAGCTCCTCCTATGAATCCGTACTTGTCTGTCTGGGTCTCCGTGTTGGCGAAGCCGTTGAGCTCAGAGTCCGAGCCCAGAGAAGAGCTCTCGTGCCCGGCCAGACTCTCCACCGCGCCCCGCTGACTCCTGCGGTCCTTCCACTGCACTCCGTTACCCGACTGAAGCTTAGCCATGCTGAATAAGAGCCCCAAACACGATGAATTCCCTTGCTTGTGGCCCCAGCAAGATTAAAGTGTGTTTTGACACACAGATAGTGGATTTCCTCTTGCCGACCGCCTCAAACTATCGACACGCTGAGATTTGAGCCTCACAACCTCCAGTGATACTAACAAAACCCCATACCTGATGATAACGACATTAAAGTGAAGTAAAACTGAGGTTTATATGACCCTGACAGGCCATTGTGGATGTTTACTAGCTACATTTATAAATGAGAATTTCACAGAAATCACATAAAGACACATGATAATTGAATGCTTTATTAGCTTAGCCGAATAATAATATCATCCCTCTATCTTAAGAAATCACTAGCGCTTGCTTGGTTCTTTATGATAGATCAAACTAAATGAAACTCGACTGATTGTTGGTCTTCTGCCAAACAAACCACAATCGGAAGAGTTATAAGCTAACACGCTAACCCGACGTAAAAAGCACATAATAATATCATCCCTCTATCTTAAGAAATCACTAGCGCTTGCTTGCTTGGTTCTTTATGATAGATCAAACTAAATGAAACTCGACTGATTGTTGGTCTTCTGCCAAACAAACCACAATCGGAAGAGTTATAAGCTAACACGCTAACCCGACGTCAAAAGCACAGCTTGACAACTCTCCGTATAAACGAATAAAACTCGGACTCACTGTGCTGTAAAGTCAGCGTTTGTGTAATGTTTATGACGGCAGCGTTTTAATCTTATTTCAGATAATCCGTGTTTACGAGCGTTTGTTTGTGACTGACTGACTGACTGACTGACTGGCTCAGTGGCTCGTGCTAAATTCGCAGCCGCGAGCTCTAAGGAGGCGTGGCTGATTATGCGCAGTACAGCGCCTGTCTACAATGCATTATTAATTACATCACCTTCAGATTGCAAAGCACAACAAACACAATTTTTACCAATAAGAGTATAAAGTTTTTGCAATTTTGTGTTATTTATAGTTTTATATTTTTATGGCGTATTACATTTACCTACTTTAATTAAATTATTAAATAATAATAAGTGTAACAATCATTATTATTATTATTTATTTATTTATTTAATAATTATTTAAATTATTTTAGAGAACTGGAGGGATCAAGAAATCCTCGGTGGCTTTCCAGTTTGGCTACTTGCCATATAGTGCTCAATGTTTAACCATGTATCGCCTTTCATGATGGCAAAACTATTATGCACTGTAACCCTCACATGCTGTTCTCATGACTGTTATAAGAAAGTCATGATGGACGTGCTTACATAGGCTATTTAGTTCACATGCATGACCACGCACATTCAGACGTAGCCTACTGTGTGATAAAACGCAAACAGTCTGAATGGATAAGCAATATATAAATAGAGATATTTTTAGATTTCAGTGCTGGAAAACTATCATTCAGTCAAAAAAAATTGCCTCGAAACAAGGCTGCCCTCTTGTGAATGACTAAAATATGAATTGCCAGATGCAAGTCAAGATAGTGCGTTTGCGGATTCCCATGCAATATGAATGCAAATGATGGGAAACCACAGTCAAATTCTAAGATAAAATCCTAAAGGAATCGTATATGAACTCAAAAAAATAAAATTAAATAAATAAATCAGAGGTCACTGCGGCATTTTTTTAAATGCAGCTAGAGTCTGCCTTCCTAAAAGTGTTCAATGACATTTTGCTTACAGTTGATGCCGGTAAAAATGCTGTATTGATACTACTTGATCTTACAGCTGCCTTTGACACTGTAGATCATAAGGTTCTTATTTGATCGATTTGATGGTTCAGCTCAAAGACATGTCTTTTTTCTGTAGCGTTAGGCAAGTTCTCTTCATATTCTGCCCCTATTATTAGTGGAGTACCCCAGGGCTCTATTCTGGGCCACTTCTTCTTAACTTATATATGCGTCCACTGGGGGATATTATTAGGAAGCACAATGTTTCATTTCATTTATATGCTGAAAAGCTGGCGATTCCATTCAACCATTGTTGGAATGTATCTTAAGAAGTGGTTTTCAAATAACTTTCTCCAACTTACTGAAGACAAATCAGAAATAGTAATTGTTTTTGTTCCCCCAAAACTGAGGAATGTCTCAATAAGGAGCTGGGCAATAATTTCCCCTAAATTTCCTCCCAGGTTAGGAACCTTGGTGTTATCCTGGATTCAGAATTATGTTTATCCAAACAAATCAATTCTGTTGTTAAGAACAGTTTTTATCAACTGTAGATTCTTTCCAAACTTAACACATTCTTGTCTTTTCAAGACTTGGAGAAGCTTATTCATGCTTTTATTACCTCATGTTTAGATTATTATTAATTCACTGTATTTGGGTCTTCGTCAGTCATCGCTTGCATGCCTCCAGATGGTACAAAATGTAGCTGCAAGTCTGTTGACCAGAAATATGACCATGTCACCCCAATTTTAGCTTCGCTTCATTGGCTTCAGGTCCATTTTAGAATTCAGTTTAAACTTGTGATGTTTGTTTTAAAGCTCTTAATGACCAAGCTCCATCCTATCTTAAAGACCTTCTAACTCCTCTGTCATCTACCAGATTTTTAAGATCTTCTGACAGGGCTCTTTTATCTGTCCCTCATTACTGTTAAAAACTAAGGGAGATTAAGAGACTAAGGGAGCTTTTTCTGTTGCCGCCTCCCGTCTGTGGAATCAACTGCCTCTGGACAGCTGCCTTGCACCTTCTATTGCAATTTTTAAATCGAAGTTGAAAACGTATCTCTACTCCTTAGCATTTTAAACTCATTCTAATTTTGTTTTATTGTCTGTTTTGTTTGGGTTTTATTCTGTCTTTATTTAACTTTCCTTTACTTTGTTTAGCACTTTGGATAGCTTTGCTAAATGATCAAATTTACATACTTACTTACTAACTCTCTATGGAATTTACTTTACATTCTTTTACAATGCTATTAAAAACATTGTTGCAATAGTAAGAGCTTTTTGTTGTTGTTGTTGTTGTTCATTGCTTGTATATTTCAGCATCTTTTGAAATAGCCATTCTTGCAATTTAACCAGCTAGTCAATAAGTCAAGTCAAGTCAAGATGTAATGGATCACATTAGATATTAAATATTATTTTGTGGGCCGCTGCACAAATGAAACATCTGTCTTCACGCTTTTTGCTGAAAAAAACGTGTAAATATACTGCTGTTAAATGCTTGTTAAAGTTACATCTCAAAATGATCTTACTGTGTAATGTTGTTTTAATGTGTGTGAGAATCTCCTGCACTCAGCTCAGTATGGGCCCTTGTGATATCACAGAGGAATTCCAGGAGTCTTATAACATGACGCAGGATAAATCACTTTGTTGTGAGTAGGAGTTTAGTGATATCAGCAGTTTTTGATAGTGATTTACTCTGCTGATTATGGGACAGCGACTATCTTGTGGAGAGAAAGCGAGCGGAGGTGTGTGTGTGAATGGGGTCAATCTCTGTCCACCCGACACCCACCGACCACATAGCGGAGCTCCATCCTTGTCTTGACAAGACGCCTGTTGTGGGCGTTAATGAGGGAGGCGAGCACAAAGGAGAGAGGTGAAAAGAAAGAAAAAGAGTCAGAAAAAAGGGAAGGTTTCAGAGGTTTGCCTCTTTTTTCTCTCCACCCAAATCCACCAGAGCTCAGGTCGAGCAGGGTGAGGTGCACCAAGACACTGATGCTGCCCCATTCAGGAGGTGCACTGATGGTAAATGACGAGCTCTGAACAACAAGTCTCTTAATCATTTACACACATTATAAAAATATACAGATTAATGACTTTTTCCATAACACGTGATAAATGATTTAATATATCCAGTGGTCCGATGTTCTCCTACCAGCAAATGTTTCCTCTCACTGGTGTGATTCCTCCATAAATATACCTATGTGCCACATAAAAAAACTCTGTGATTGTGAAAATACACAAAAATGTGTTGTTTTATCAGCCATTCCTATTATGTGTCAGTTCTAGAGAGGTTAAATCCTCTCGTGCTACCAGTTTATATTCATCACTCTGAATGTTAATTTGAATAATAAACTCACCAGTTAAGTAATACTAGAATCTATGCATCCAAACTATTTGCAAACAATATTTTTATTTTCAAATATGCACACATTATTAAACAAGCTACAGTTAGTCCAAAATGCAGCTGCTACACTCTCAGGAAAAATGGTACAAAAGTTATCACTGGGATGGTATCCTTTCAAAAGGTACAAATATGTGCACTTAGTTACTAATATGTATATTTTATGTATTAATATGGGGTAAATAAGGTACAAAGAAGTACCTTTTAAAAAAAAAAAAAAAAATCACGGTCTAACCCCACGTTTTATCATCTCTTGCTACTTATAAGGCCTAAAATGCTTTAGCTCCTGAGTCCTGTGTATTTAACAGATCTTTTATCATGCTACAATCCACCACATTCTTTATGGTCACAAAAGCCTCGACTTTTGCTAGTACCTAGGATAGCAAAGTCCATTATAGGAGGTTGAGCATTTTTGCATTTAGCATCTAAACTCTGGAATAGCCTTCCTTATAATGTTTAGGGCTCAAACACTCACTAAAGATGCACCTCTTTAGCTAAGCATTCACTCATCTTGCACTCCAGTTATATCTGATTAAATGCACAATACCTTTTCCTTGAAATGAACAGCAGCAGGATGAGCAAGGATTGTATATCCTTATTAAAGAATTCAGTTTTTAGTTTATAGGAGTTCCCAAAGGATAGGAATACTTTTAAGGTTATTTATTGGAATCTGAGATTCTATTAAGAACTTTTAACATCCATAGAACTTTTCCATTGCACAAAAGGTTCTTGATCTGTGCAGATCTACCCATCATTATTTAATCTAAACAAGCTGATGCAGCTTTGCAGATCATGCCCTAAACCTAACAGTTTGCAGGAGGTTAGGCCAGGCTCTGTCCACTCTTCACACTGTCTTACACGTCTAAACATTTCATTTATGGGTGATTTTTCCATTTTTTTTAAATCTTGAAAAATAAAACTATGTGGATATGTCATGTTAAAACATTTATCACACGCTGTGTAATAAAGATCTGATCACAGCCTTGGACCAGCGGTGTTGTTATTGTTACTTAAATCTAAAGTTATTTAACAATGTTTTGGGGAAATGAAGCTGAAATTAAATAAATAGTGTAAAATAGTGTATAAATATTACTGTAAGCCTGCAAATGGATTTTGATCATGTTTGTGACAGTAATGTTGTGTGATGCTAAGAAAAAATGTAGAATAAAATCTCCAGAAGCTTTGGAAACTTGGCACAAGTTCATTTATTTTTAATTTTTAAAATAAAAATAAATAAATAAATAAAATTCAATTTCTGAATAACAACAAAATTAACAAACAAGACCAAGTTAACTCATGAGATATGAAAAGAAAATTTACTTCAGTACATATTTGTTGTTATTATGGATAAATAATTCTGGAAAATCTGTGTGTAAAATCACAGGGATAACATTGAATCATTGATGCACCCAGTACGCCACAGTTCACATGCAAATAGAAAACAAACAGCAGCAAATTAAGAAAAAAATCTTCATCAGTTTGACAACACGTGTGCTGCAAATACTCACAATGCAAGCAAATATACCTTCCTCTCACCGCATAATACAGAACAAGCTGTGTTTGTCAACGTGCACAAACAAACTCAAAATGTCTTTGCTTTGTCACTCACTTGTTCCTCTCTGCTGTTTATGATCACCAGATCTGCTCCTCTCTGCTGACAGTCTAGTCTGCTGTCACTCCAGCTCTTCCACTCAGATGAAATATAATAAAAGCTGAAGTTGTAGTAA